GAAATTTGTACCAGTCAAAATTGGCAAATTAGATTTAATTACGCTCATTTTAAAATATATTTAAAGTTGTACTTACTAAAACACGTTCTTGATATTTCTTTGTTATTATTTAAACTTCAGTCTCATAATCTGTTATTTTGTAGTTTATTTGACACATAAATATACTACAAATTAAGATAATATCTTATTTTATTATCTTTAAAAGGAAACAAACATATTAATTAGAGAATTATTTACAACTTACTAAAAGGTAAACATTAGGGCTAATATTCATTCCTTTGTTCTGTACTGCCAGGGTTGCTGAAACTGTCGCGTTCCCTATTTTAGACCTACGAGAACGGAGCATGTAAAGGAGTGACTTAGTACAATTTCCTTAATACAATTTACGAGTGTAACCTATCGACAACAATGTCATCAGCATCCTCGGAATGTATGTTGTGACTTAGTGAAATTCCCTAAAAAAAAATTTACAAGTGTAACCTTTTGACAAACGTCGCTTCCATCTTTGGAATAGCGTGACATAGAAATAGACAAATATAGGACTTAAACACCTAAGGATATACTTGATGAAATGTAGTATCAGATAATATACAAGGTACAGGAGGACTCAAGTGGGAATTTTTCTTCCATACAAGGCGTGGGAGGGACCCTCCAAAAGGGGGCACAGATCGGGGGAGGACCGTTGAAGGATTCCTTCCTAGAATGCATGGGGGCGTTGGGTGTCGCGCGGATTTAACAAGGTCTCTGGAATGTAGGGGTCCAACGTCTCAGGGGTTTCAACTTACGTCCATTCTCTCCCCCCCCCCCCTGTTTCTTCCTCCATGAAAGAGAAAATGGCGACCCCTTCTCCCTGCCTCCCTCGTTGTCCCAACCATTCCTTTAAGAGATTCACCTTCTGGCGATTTAGCAACCCACTGAAGACGCTGGGAGCTATTTCATGGTGAAAAATTATAGCAACAGGTCTCTATAACTTCTACAGATCAACTGTAAATAGATTCATAATAAGGTGTTTATAACCCAAATAACACAAACAATAGTCAAACATACAAATCTATTTGTGTCATATCGTACCCTACTAACAGCGTAACAATAGCCCGAGGACTTAGGAAATATGGTATAAAGACATATTATGAAAACACATAACATACACGCAATAATCAGAAATCATAACAAAAAGATGGCCATAACTCACCAATATGCAACAGTCAAGCAATATACCTAATGGAATGCAACCAATGCAATAGTATGTACATAAGTGAAACCGGCAAACAAGTAATAGATAGAATGGATGGGCACACCAGATCCATAGAAAGGATAAAAGAAATTCCTTTTATTCCAACACTCTCAAAATACAGGTCACTCCTTCAATCTAAGTAACCCAAAAACCTTTTATACCAATGTGAACAGCGAACAGAAAAGACTGTACTTAGAATTTTTTTTTATCATTAAAACACGCTAGCATCAATAGACACATTGAAATTCCAGAATCATACACAGAACTCATAAATAGCAATTAACGTACACTTCCCGTATTTAATACAATAACTCTTGTTTCAATAACTCTGTCCATAGCTAATTCAAATTCCATAAGTTAAATTATTATATAATAGTTTTTACCTTAGTTTAGAAATATGTAAATAGTCTGGATACTTAGCATATATCAAGAAGTTAATAGCTCCTTTATGAAAAATTTGTAAAGATGTAAATATATTAGGTAAATATATTTAGCTACTAACGATTCACTACCATCGCGTTGCTCCTGTAGAAGGACCACCATATCCGAAAGCTAGAGCCTTATTAAGTGATTAAAAAAAATATATGCGCAACCTCGGAGTTTTATTATTTGTCAAAAAGGATTTCGCAGAGGTTAAGACATTGGAGTTAGTTTACTATCTGGATATATATGGGAGGGACCCTACTCGTAAAGATTATACCAACGTCTAACAGATAAGCTATAAAGACAACTAAACTATAGATTTAATAGTGGTCGGTTCTCCCAAAAAAAAAAAATTTTAGACGCTGGGATGGGTCGGACTCGGGTCCGTGACGCGCCCAAAAATTTTTTTTGTCACGTTCTTTGAGATCATCCAACGACTTTGGGAGATCTCAGATAAAGATGAACATGTTACTATTAGAAACTAAAAATCCTGAATATAGAAGACCTAATTAACACTTCTATTGAAGTATAATAAGTTGAAATCAATATCTCAAATTAGATACCATGAAGTACTAGATTCAGATTTTATTGGTAGAAAATCTGATTAAAAATGCGGATATCCTTTAATCCCTAATTTTATAGTAAAGATTCAACAAAAAATGCGATAAGTAAGTTACCATCTGGATATATGGAAAGGACTCTATTTATAAAGATTATACCAGAATCTAACAAATAAGAACAAGCAAACTATAGACTTATACTATTGGCATTAATAATCGTAATGTATCTAAAACAAAGGTCTTCAATAAAATCGTAAAGAGAACAACCTAATGAGTTTAAGGCAACATGGGTCTTATTAAATTTAAATCAACGAACAATATAATGGTAGACATGATGGAATATACTGAAACACAGACACTCGCAACAGTGTGTATGGCCGGCAATTTATGGGAGACTTGATTATTAGCAACATTCCCTCCAAATATATATATGAATCATAATATACCTTGTTTGAACAATGAAGGAAAGACAGATTCTTCACATGAGGATACAAATATCATTAAAACCTAACAGATAGATACCCTCAAGGCAGCCCTAATAAAGTCGTATTTTCAACTGTCGCTGTGGCAATATATCACAGCAAATACACAGTACACAACTCTATTCCATCAGAGTCGGTAGTCCATATTCAGTACAGTTTGTGATAGTAAGATGGGGGGGGGGGGTATTACCATAAAACTAGAGAATGTAAATGTATGAAGGGAAACAAAACTCTCTGTATAAAATATATATATATATATAGATATTTATTAGGCAAAATTTTGGGGACATTTTATACAAGCGGGGCATGCTATTTACATAATGAACTAGGTAGAGGTGACTTAAGGTTACAAATTCGTCGTTGTATAATAGGAAAACATAGATCTCCATCTATTCTAACGGGACAAGACACAAAAATACTAACATTCCATCTTGTATTTAAAGCCCTTTTAGGGCCCATCCAAAATCTAAATGGATTAGTTCTACTTGAAGATTAAAAGGGGGAGCTGGGCCATGATGGCGGGGCTTACCTTCTCTCGGAAAGGGTGGTAAGGTCTGGTCTCCTCCACGTCTCAGGGCCGACTGCCTGGATCTCTCCTGTCACTGAGCGACTTTTTCTCTCTCTCTTTATTTAGTCAAGACGGGCCTTTTTTATCCTAGCCTCTCTTCATTTCCATTCGTTGATCATGCCAAAGTTTCTATTGGCTGGCATTTTCATTCGTCGAAAACAAACACCCACGTGATCATGGGCATTTTCATTCGTCGGAAGAAAACACGCACGTCATCATGACCACGCCCCCAATTTACCGTGTTGTCGCGCGAGAAAAAAAAATTGAATATTGGATAAAACAAATTAATCCCTAAAAATTACTTCCTTTAGGAAATTAATTAATATATATATATATCCCGAGTATATAAAAAAATTATTGATTTACATGTTTATATGACAAATTGTTTTCCTTAGGTCACCTACTACAAAAAAAATGAGGGGAATATATGTACATATGGTACAGTAGCTCCCAGCACGGATGTCTCTGGATGTCACCCGTGTCTTTCCTCCCCACCAGGCATCAGCTTTTGGCATGGAAGTTTGGAGTCCTCAGGTGTCTAGTTTTATTTGTACATATGCTCTTTGTACATCCTTCCAAGAGAGGCCCTGCGTCAGGGAGGGGGCCTTTAGAGCATCGTCGGCCATCGTTGGGAGTTCTCCACCTAGGCAACAAACCCTTCGGCGAGACACTGCGTATATATATATATTATATGATGTAAATGAATGTTTACATCTTTGTTGGGTTTTGTTTAGTGGAAAAACTGACCCAACAATTCCTCCCCCACCAGAGTGAAAGAATGCGTTTATTCCAAATCATATCTGTTCATAGTCTATGAGAAATATGAAAATTGGGGGAAATGCATTCTTTTATGATATCAGTATGCAATCACTGACACTCGGGCAAAGGAGGAATATACGGGCCATGAACCTGGAACATGTTAGCTCAATGTAAGTACTGGAAGAAATTCTACCCTACCATTTAATGGGCAATGTACTAAGCCCATCCTTTCGCTGTCTGTAATCCGGGGAGTCTTGGCCCAGATGTGAGTCAAGTCCACATGTTCTCAGCCATTGTCCCTATGGTGGAGGTGTGGGATGGTCTAAGCACCGTTTCTATACAAACAAACTCTTAGTACCTTCTAGATAAACATAATTATTAAGGGCGCCAAGGAATTGTGTGTGTTAACATAGATATGTACAATTCCTAAAACATATCCAAAAAAAACTTTATTGACTCTATATGATATATATGACAGCAAAGGAATGACTATACATGGTTACAATGATAATGGTAATATAAAAGGAAAAAACTAAAATTACAACTCCTATCAATGACATTAATAATAGGGCAAAACAGAAACGTGGCAAGTGAATATACATATTAAAGTTGCACGGATACGATGTATGCCAAAGTGGAGCAATGCAGATATACGCGAAGAAAAAAAATAAAAAAATTTTAAGAAGGATATTTACTATAGGTAGGAAGGGAATGGTTTGATATACATATATATAGGATATACTACGGTAAACAGATGAATATATAAATTGTGGTTAGAATCTCCATTCGGTACATTTGTCTGAAGATGGTAACAATGCTGTTACCAAAATGTCACACATATTAATTATTCGTTCTTTCTATATATACAAATATACATGAATATAATAAAGGAATGATACATGCTATATAGTAATGTTGAGTATATAATGATAATAAAACGAATAGATGTGCACTGAGGGTCTAGGACATTTCACTAGTATTTCAAATTCTACATGTAATATCTTAAAATTGTTCTTACCAACTCGTCATTGGGAGTGTTTTGTCTGGCATGTTCCCCGCTTCTCTTAAATCAGGGAAGATATATATATGAAGGGGATCATGGTAGCCAATACGTTCCCAAACCAGGTTATTTCTAAATCACTTTATCGTGATGACAATCTAACCTATCTTTGTTCTTTACCTGAACATGTAGTTAACCCTTACTATACATTGTTTAGATGATCTATAGAATGTGTACTCATACTTTTTACCCACAACTCGAGTTCTTAACATCTCTCTGAAAATATTTTATTCTATGTCTACAATAAAATAAGACTAGCTCATTGCTCTAGGCCATTTCACGGCCGAATCGATCTTTCCTAGGAGAAAAAAAAAATTCTTCCTTCTTAGATCTGAAACGCTACATTGGCTTGTTCTGGTAATTTGCTTCAAAAGTTCATTTAGATATCCTACTAGTTTAAAGTTTATCTTAACATAGGACGAGCTATCCTCGTAAAAAAAAAAAATTCTACATACTAATTGATGTTTAGATTTAAATTCGTTCCGACTAAACGTATGGTAGACTGATAGTCTTTAATTAGGTGATTAACTTTTGCTAGCCTGGGGCGATATAAAACGCAAAGAATCTGGACAGTCCATCTGTCACTTTGCTAACTGGTACCTAAAAATCTGTAGACGGAATCGCGTCGTCTAATCGTAACTTGTTTCTTACACGCTCTCTCATTGTTAACTCTCATTAGAAACCCCCATTAGACTATGACTTAAAACAAGGAATTATAGGGACTGTTCACCCAGCACGTGTTTCAAGCTTCCTGTCATAGAGGGCTGGTTCCAAGCTGCGCAATATATATAGGAGCTTCAACGCGCCGATCCTTTCCAACCTCCCGACTGGATCACCCTCATTTCAGCCACGCTTAAAGCGTCGTAAACTACGATGTCAGATCGGTTATCCGAGGTTAGTCGTTAAGCACCTTACTTACGACATCGGCTACTAAGTCTCCCCACCTAGATCAAAGTTCACCTGGTACCTCTCCGCTTCCTCTAAAGAGGAGGGGACTTGCAGACTTCTGGCCTGACCGTGGCCTTCCACAAATCCCCCAGTCTGAGAATCGGGACATGGTCATTGCCTACGACTCTTAGAATTCAAGTTGATATGACGAAATAGGGTGATTGATTACCCTAATAATAGAAATCAAACTTATACTCCCATAGGAGGAGACCTAACAAAATGGAGCGAATTCCTTTCCTAATAATAGAGTTGTACAGTCCTGTGAGGCCATTCGATCCTAACAAATAAAGAAATCAAAATTAAAATTGAATCTATTTGTTCCCTAGCCCTATTCTAAAGTAATTTTGGTCTAACAGTATAATAGTTTTTAACTTTGACAACAATCATTAATCATTCCATTCATACATATTTCATTCGCAGACTGCATTCATACTATAGTTAAAAATTGCTATAAATGCCAAAGTACTACAATTATCTCTATCAAATAAACCCTAACAATAATAAAGTCTTTCAGGACCAATGAGAAATCAAATAAAGTTATCTAATTAAAACAAAGTGGGGACTAAAGCCCTATTGACTTAAATAAATGCCTCATACAAACTCTATATAAATTATCTACTCATAGATAAACTTTCTTTATACTTAAACAAATTAGTAAAAATGATTGTTAACAACCAAATGCTGAAATCTAACCTAACACTTTAAATGTGTGTCTAACAGTTTGAAAATCTTCTTATCTTGACACTTGGTGTCTAGACAAACGAATCATCAAAACTAGCACTTAAATGGCGCGAACTGAACTTCAAGCATTTACCTCATTGCCGAATATGATAGGTCTACAAGTGTTTTGCCAACGCTACTTCCCATATAGGATCATTAGCATTTTTCTTTCCCTGCTATTCAGCTAAACTCTTTCTTTGGACTTATAGGGCTTTCAGTAGCCAGCTCGTTCTGGAGTTTAAAAACAGAGGTTACTTGTTGCTCTATCATATTAATTCTTAGACTGTAATTGCCTTACACACTCTCATTAGAAATTCTCTTTGGACTGTATAACTGGACCCAGGGATTTACAGGGAGTCAAGTTTTACCCAACGCAAGCTCCAAGTCATTCCATAGGTAATTGGTTACAAGCACAGCAATTATCTAATGTGTCTAAGTCCCTTAATTGCTTTTAAAGTTGAACCACTGTTCAGAACCTTCAATAAAAAAAATTAAAACAAAATAAACTGTTGAACTCACGACTTAAATCACAATTTGCTTTCAGCACAGAATAGCCTCTTCAATTGAAAAAAAAAAACTGAAAATTCTTTAAGACCACAATCTAGGGCTTTTAACCCACATTCTAACACTTCATACTATGATCAAAATTTAACTAACTCTAGTACACATTCTATAGGTTTAAATCAATGACAACCTGGGCATGATTTACAATCAGTGGGCCTCTTGACCCTGGTTGAACGGCGTATTCCAGGGCCGTCAACATTGCCACCAATTGCCCTATTTACTACCTCAGGCGGGTTTCCTAAGGTTGCTGTCTCTCGTGGTTCCTCTGGTTCTACAGTTCTATGGGAGTATATTGGATATGTTGGGTGTACCCAGTGATCCTCATCATCAATGACACCATCTATTTGCTCTTGTACGGTTTCGTCCCCTGTAGGGTAAGTCTTTACCGGGGCATGATAGGCCTTCATTCTGTCTATGTGGATCTTATCTAAGTTCCCCGTCTCCAAGTCCTTCAGAAGGTAAACAGTGTCGCCTGTCCTTTGTAGTACCTCATATGGTCCTCTGTACCTTGGCTCAAATTTATGACGTCCTTTCGTCTCATGCATTCTTTTTACCAAAGCTAGATCCCCCGTCTCAAAGGTCCTTAACTCTCTGGCTTCAAACTCAGCCCTGGCTTCTTGTTGCTCCTTCAAGTAAGTCTGCCTCACCGTCTCTCTCGCCCTTTCAACCTCCTCCACCAATTCCCGCTCATAGAAGGCCGCCATTTCGGTAATTGAATCCTCGCATACAGGATTAAGCTCCTCTTCCTGGAAAGGTTGTGGGAGCCTCAGCTCATGTCCGAAGACCAGTTTCGCTGGAGTAAATCCAGTACTAGAGTGTACAGTGGTCCTGATAGCTAAGGCTACCATTGGTAAGGTGGTATCCCAATTGTTCCCCGCTGTACACCTGCGTAGAGATTCTATTACCGTCCTATTGAGCCTTTCTACGGCGCCATTACTCTGAGGTCTCCAGGCCGTGGTATTTACTGCACCAACCCCCATAGCCTTGCAGACTCCCTTGAATACGCAACTCATGAATGCTGATCCTCGGTCAGAGAGTATCGTTTTTGGTACCCCAAAGGTAGTGATTATCCTTTCCAACAAGGCCCTAACCACTGTATTGGCACACTGGTCCTTAGTAGGAATCAGGATTGGGAACTTAGTAAAAAGATCCACAATGGTCAGAATACTCGAATAACCCCTTGGGGTTATTTCTAATGGTCCTATGAAGTCTAGAGCTAGGTGCTCAAAGGGTTTTTCGGGTCTAAAGTGGGGAGCACTAGCGGCTTTGGCTACGCCTTGATTCGATAGCTGGCAGCTCTCGCATCTGCATATATATTTCCGGACTTGTGTCCTCATGCCAGGCCAGTAATAGTCACCCTTCAGCCTTCTCATAACCTTTCTAACTCCGAAATGACCTCCAGTAGCGATGTCATGATGATAGCTGATCACTGTTTCCCTAAAACCTGTAGGAACCACCTTCACCCAGGTACCCCTTTCATTCTTTGTAACGAGGTATTTGTCTAGTAACCTATATTCCCGGTTATTATACCTCTCCGTGCTATTTGGTTTTAATTTCGTTAACTTATTCATTACTGGGGCCCATCCCTTCTCTTGAAGTAAACCTTCCCATATCTGATTACTATTTAATAAGGGGGGCCGACGGTCTCTTACCACCGTGGCCACTACCCTCCTATCTTGTGGCAGGTTTGGATCATCCTCGCACGGGAACCTACTAAGGAAGTCGGCTATCGTGTTTTCCTTCCCCGGGACATAAATGAATGTAACGTTGAAGTCTTGGATGATCTCTGACCACCTAGACAGTCGGGCGTTCTTATAATCAGACCCCTTATTATAAGTAATCGGTTTATGGTCAGTATGTACTTCTACTCTACTACCCGCCAGGAGGTGTTTAAAGTGTTGTAGGGACAACACTACTGCATAAGCCTCCTTTTCTATTGTGGAATAGCGGATCTCAGGACCAGTCAGTCTCTTGCTATAATAAGCAATTGGCCTCACTGTCCCATTGACCTCCTGTTGGAGGCAAGCGCCTACCGCTATCCCACTGGCGTCAGTGTTCAGGATGAAAGGTACACCAATTGTCGGGTGAATTAGTAGTGGCTCGCTGGTTAATATTCCCTTCACCGTCTCAAAGGCTGACTGCTCTATCATACCCCAAGCAAATCTATGTCCCTTCCTTAATAGGTTGCTCAGTGGAGCCAGGACCTCACCTGCGTTGGGAATAAAGCGTCGGTAGTAGTTAACTGTACCCAATAGACTTCTGACTGCCTTGATGTTATGAGGTCGTTTCGAATTCCTGAGAGCGGCGACATTATCCCACATGGGTTTGATCCCATTTTGGTCGATTACACGACCTAGGTACTCTACTGAGTCCCAGAAGAGATAGCTCTTCCCGTATTTGGCCTTCAAACCGAACTTACTCAGGCGTTCGAGTACAGCGGCGAGGTCCGCTACATGCTGCTCGTGAGAGTCGCTGTAGACAATGACGTCATCGATGTACAGGCGAACGCATTTGAACAACAAGTCACCCAGGACCAAGTTCATGGCCCACTGGAAGACCTGTGCTGAGTTTTTAGCTCCTTGTGGCAAACGCGTGAAGCGGTATCTCCCCCAGGGCAGAGAGAAGGTAAAATAATCTCTGTCACTCTCCGGGATGTGGATCTGGAAGAATCCAGAAGTCAGATCTAATGTGCTGAAGACCTTTGCACCTGCAAATGCGCGCAGATTGTCTTCGACACGGGGTATCGGGAACGGGAAGAATTCAGTTGCCTCATTGATCATACGTAGATCCATGGTGATGCGGACACTACCATCAGTTTTGGCAACCGGGAATAGAGGGGAATTCCACAGAGAGGTGCTCCCTTCTACTATCCCTACTTCCTCCAGCTCGTCCACTAACGCTTTCACCTTTGAGACTAGTTTGTTCGGGATTGGATATTGCCTCCTATATACTGGTTTGCTAGTCAGCATCCTCAGTTTAGGGGCTGTGATGGTGGAGCCATTCCCCATATCTTTTATATCATTGCAGAAGCAATGACTGAAGGCCCTGAAAATATCGTGGCCCGTGTGGATCTCGTTTAGGGGTATCCTGGGTGGTTGAGGAGACATTTCTATTGTTTGTAGTGAGGAGAGGAAGGCCGACTTGGTCGGATCCTCCTTCCTTTCGTAGTCGGACCTAATACTACCGTCGTAGCTAAGGTGTAGTTTTAGAGCTCGGAAACCTGGTAGTCCGAGTATGCCATCAAATCCTAATTCCCCCATGTGACAATACTCGAAGGTCGTTCTTACCTCCCTAATGGGCTTACCGTTCACCACTGCCCCTATTTCTAACACCTCACTCCCTAATGACCTTAAAGATTTTCCTGATATACCTTTAAGGTAAGTAGGCTTGTCTAGTCCCTCAGTGCATAAATTTAAATTGTCAATATTTACAATGTTGGCCTCTGAGCCTGAATCTAGGATAAATTTTAGACACTTCTCGTCCAGAGACCTCCCTTTATTCAAAATATATACATTTATGGCAGGTAAACTGGCCGCAAATCCCCCTCCTGCCTTGAGGCAAGCCGTACCTAGTTTTTTCTCTGCTTCTGCTGGCAGTCCCGGATGAGATGCCCTGGCTCGCCGCACCCGTAGCACTTGGGGGGCGGTCTCCCTGCGCCCTGCTTCTTGTAGTCCACTCCAGGGTTCTCCTCCCTTTCACCGTTGGGTTCCCTCCTTTGTTGTCTAGGCGGGGATGGATTCCGTTGTTGTCTGGGTGGTTGTTGTGCTGGTCTCCTCTGCCAGTTCCTAAAGGGGGCTCCCCTCCTGTTATCCTGGGAGTTGTCTCCGTAATCCCTTCTCCCTGCGGGGTGTGATGGCCACCTTCCTCCCCCACTATTTGTACTATTGGCACTTCTTCTTTGTCCTCTAAGGGCTGCATTCTCTATTTCTAGTGCCTCCATTTTCTTCTCCAGGTCGGCCAATTTGTTGCCCATGTCACCCAGCCTCTGACCGTTCCTGTCGGCGCTGGAGCGCTGCGCCTCCCTGTAATCTTCCTCCCTCTGTTCCAGCCACTGTAGTTTGCTTACTAGGGTTTCCCAGGGTTCGCCTTGGTATAGATGAGCCTTCTCCCACAGGCTGGGGCAGAGTCCGTCGATGAAAACCTCCGCGATTTCCGAGGTGCCTATCTTCAGGCCATCCGACTCTGCTCCCGCCGCAAGGTCGCTCACCCGCGCGGCGAAGTCTCGTACTTTCTCCCCGGCCCCTTGTCTACATGAGAAGAACTGGCTCCTCATCTCCCTTGTAGAGACCCTCTTTCGGAACCTCCCCTCTAGGCTCTCCTTCAATTCTTCGTATCCGAGGCGGATTTGCTGAGATTGTAAGGCAAACTCCCTCGCAGCCCCCCGGAGGTGGTTGTCCAAGAGGATTATTTTCCTGGCGTCGTCTAGGGCCTTCAGGTCGTAGACAAGTTCAAAGTCCTTTATGAATTTCGTGAAGGGGACAATGCCCTTCCCTTCAAACTTCTCCAGGTTGTATAGCATGGAGGGCAGCTGGGCTTGGCTAGTTGCGGCATTCTCTTCATCAGCAGGCATGGTCCTCAGTTGTTGGATCTACAGGAACTAGGTATTAGTCATTCACCCTGGTTGTAACGGGAGTATTAGGACCCATAGAGGCGGGCGGAGTAGGAACACAAAACAGAAGGAAGGGGAGGGGCCTTTCTTAATCATGTTCCTAAGACACTATGGGGTTCATGTTTCAAAAGGAAATTGGTATTCAATAACATAGAAACCATACATGTATGTGTGTGTGGATGTGAACGCAAACATCGCGTTGGGTAAAAATGAAGATCCTGTAAAAGAAATCCGAGTGATGTGGACGCAAACATCGCGTTGTGAAAATTGAAGGTTCTATAAAAAAAATCTGAGTGATGTGAACGCTAACCTCGCGTTGAAAAAAAAAAGATTCTATAAAAGAAATCGAGTGATGTGAACGCTAACCTCGCGTTGTAAAAAAATGATTCTATAAAAGAAACCTGAGTGATGTGAACGCTAACCTAGCGTTGTGAAAAATGAAGATTCTATAAAAGAAACCTGAGTGATGTGAACGCAAACATCGCGTTGTGAAAATTGAAGGTTCTATAAAAGAAACCTGAGTGATGTGAACGCAAACATCGCGTTGTGAAAATTGAAGGTTCTATAAAAGAAACCCGAGTGATGTGAACGCAAACATCGCGTTGTGAAAATTGAAGGTTCTGTAAAAGAAATCCGAGTGATGTGAACGCTAACCTCGCGTTGTAAAAAAAATTATTCTATAAAAGAAACCTGAGTGATGTGAACGCTAACCATCGCGTTGTGAAAAATGAAGGTTCTATAAAGAAACCTGAGTGTGATGTGAACGCAACCATCGCGTTGTGAAAAATGGAGATTCTATAAAAGAAACCTGAGTGATGTGAACGCAACCATCGCGTTGTGAAAATTGAAGGTTCTATAAAAGAAATCCGAGTGATGTGAACGCTAACCATCGCGTTGTGAAAAATAAAGGTTCTATAAAAGAAACCTGAGTGTGATGTGAACGCAACCATCGTGTTGTGAAAATTGGAGATTCTATAAAAGAAATCCGAATGATGTGAACGCAAACATCGCGTTGTGAAAATTGAAGGTTCTATAAAAGAAACCCGAGTGATGTGAACGCAAACATCGCGTTGTGAAAATTGAAGGTTCTGTAAAAGAAATCCGAGTGATGTGAACGCTAACCTCGCGTTGTAAAAAAAATGATTCTATAAAAGAAACCTGAGTGATGTGAACGCTAACCATCGCGTTGTGAAAAATGAAGGTTCTATAAAAGAAACCTGAGTGTGATGTGAACGCAACCATCGCGTTGTGAAAAATGAAGGTTCTATAAAAGAAACCTGAGTGTGATGAGAACGCAACCATCGCGTTGTGAAAATGGAGATTCTATAAAAGAAACCTGAGTGATGTGAACGCAAACATCGCGTTGTGAAAATTGAAGGTTCTATAAAAGATATCCGAGTGATGTGAACGCTAACCTCGCGTTGTAAAAAATGAAGGTTCTATAAAAGAAACCCGAGTGATGTGAACGCTAACCATCGCGTTGTGAAAAAGGAAGGTTCTATAAAAGAAACCTGAGTGTGATGTGAACGCAACCATCGCGTTGTGAAAAATGGAGATTCTATAAAAGAAACCTGAGTGATGTGAACGCAACCATCGCGTTGTGAAAATTGAAGGTTCTATAAAAGAAATCCGAGTGATGTGAACGCTAACCATCGCGTTGTGAAAAATGAAGGTTCTATAAAAGAAACCTGAGTGTGATGTGAACGCAACCATCGTGTTGTGAAAATTGGAGATTCTATAAAAGAAATCCGAATGATGTGAACGCAAACATCGCGTTGTGAAAATTGAAGGTTCTATAAAAGAAACCCGAGTGATGTGAACGCAAACATCGCGTTGTGAAAATTGAAGGTTCTGTAAAAGAAATCCGAGTGATGTGAACGCTAACCTCGCGTTGTAAAAAAAATGATTCTATAAAAGAAACCTGAGTGATGTGAACGCTAACCATCGCGTTGTGAAAAATGGAGATTCTATAAAAGAAACCTGAGTGATGTGAACGCAACCATCGCGTTGTGAAAATTGAGGGTTCTATAAAAGAAATCCGAGTGATGTGAACGCTAACCATCGCGTTGTGAAAAATGAAGGTTCTATAAAAGAAACCTGAGTGTGATGTGAACGCAACCATCGTGTTGTGAAAATTGGAGATTCTATAAAAGAAATCCGAATGATGTGAACGCAAACATCGCGTTGTGAAAATTGAAGGTTCTATAAAAGAAACCCGAGTGATGTGAACGCAAACATCGCGTTGTGAAAATTGAAGGTTCTGTAAAAGAAATCCGAGTGATGTGAACGCTAACCTCGCGTTGTAAAAAAAATGATTCTATAAAAGAAACCTGAGTGATGTGAACGCAAACATCGCGTTGTGAAAAATGAAGGTTCTATTAAAAGAAACCTGGGTGATGTGAACGCAAACATCGCGTTCCCACAGGCGATCATATGGAAGGAACCTTCAAAGCTTAATACACCAATAACTATGACAAAGATATCCTCAACTCAATGCAGGTAACCTAATTGACAACAGGGACGTTAACACAACGAAACCCCTAGCTCACAATCCAGGGACAATCAAGATTATCACATTTGGATACATCTGAGGTTATTGGTAACCAAAAAAAAATCAGGCAAGTTTAGTAAGAAAAAGAAGTCAAGTAATGTTCAATATGTGGTAGATTTAGAATTGATTGACGAGTTCTACAAAAAGGATAGCCCCATCAAACAGAGCTAAAAGAATAATAAAAAAAAAACTTTACGATTCAATCCAACGCTTAAACAAACTCATAGCCAAAAAAAAATGAAAATAAGGCTGAAACTCTTTAAAGCACAGCCTATCACCAAGTACAATGTTGTACATTGAAAGCTTTTATTAGTCTAAATAAAAATTCGTCTAACTAAAGTTATCAACATCAAAGCCAAGATTGCAGCCAATAAAGATTGTTTCTTATCAGGAGAAATACATATTTGTTATTTAATATATAGCCCAATATTAAAACAAATATAGTCCTATGTATATAGATTATTGTATACAGTAGCTAAAATCTAGGTAAATCAGCTCACGAAAACTCCTCGTGTATTTAAAAAGAAAATCCTCAATTTTATAAGCTACATCCTCAGCAAACCTTGTTTCAATAGGGGGGGGCCACTTCCTGTCCGTAACAAACCCTCCCATGTCCGGTCGTTATCTTCCAAAAAGGGGGGGGGGTCCACGGTTTCTAATTTTAATTGCCTTGACTGCAATTCCCTTATCTTGTGACTTCCCCAGAATTACCCCCGCTATTTGCTTATCGAGGAAGTCAGCCATCGTGTTCTCTTTCCCCGCAACATACCCGAATGGCGCGTCGAAGTCCTGGAAGATCTCTGGCACATTGTTAACAACTTACAAATTATGATTACACAATTGTTGAATATCTGGAAATTTATCCCACCAATTTACTTAATCCCTTAACACGTGTACGTGTTCATTGTCTCTTAGAGACTGTTATCAGAAACTTTTCTCTTGTATTTATACAGTATGAGGTACAGTAATTAAAGGCTGCATTTCCATGGGTTCATCCCTCTTACAACATGCTGGTACGAAATCAAATGCGGTCATAAGATCATTGTCTACGGGATAACAGGTGCACATGGGATTGGGAAACTGGCAAAGTTATTTCGCCCTTCAAGACACTTAATTGTGACTGAGTTTTCTGCTGAGTTATGTTGATACACTATGAATTTGGTAGGGAAATTAATTCGTAGGATTGTGTTACATATCATGGGCTTTGTTTGTACTGGGTTAGAAATTTTATATTATTCCTTATTACTGTCAATCTGATAATTACATTCCTGGCTCATGAGATATAGGTGTGCAACTTGTATAATTCACTGTGGAAATACATGTGGACATTTAAGGATTTACAGGAGTATATCTGATATGGAGAAGTCACCTCAGCTCGATGTATCAACATTTTGTTTTGGAATTAGCGCCCCTTTCTAGATGGACTTCACTGCCCCATTTATGGCTCAAGTGTATCACCTTGATTGTCAATTTTAGGAAACGTCATCTCGTCCTCGCCTTCCTTCTCTCCATGCTGGCACATCTTCAATGACAATTTCCATGTGGTGAACACACCCTTTTAGCGGTCTAATGGTATCCAGTGATCAAACTTGGCAGAAAACGTCGTCAAAGGGGGCCGCCCTTCTCGCGTGTCATGCCTACTAAACCAACCACGATACCGCCTCACGCCTACAGGTTCCGAATTACATTCAATGTTATATCTTTGCTCGGGTGTCCAGGCTTTATCAATCCTTATTCACAGCCTTTAGGTGATATTACCCCGCACTGGGGACTCGCTTCTCGCTAATTTCCTCATTATATGCAAGTGTCAAAATCGAGCCTCGATAAACTGTCCTGTCTCCTATACCCCCATCATTAGATAGATCCTGTCTCTAACACAGGGGGCTTTTGCTGCCTTTGTCTTCAATTTAAAGCTGTCCAAGCACACCTCGGGATATCTCAGCTGTCGTGTAGACACAAGCTCCAGTCATCTCCTTTCCTTTGAATATATTAAAATATTATCCCAGGTAGTTGTCATAAGTCAATAAATAGTTCCACAGTGATTAAAAGGTACTCGCGCAAGTTGGTCACTATATATATTCCTTGAGATTCTGCCACTGGAATGTTAAAACCAGATTTCTACCCATTATTGATTTCAATTTAAAAAAATTTTACGAAGAGATGGTGATCAAACTTCTCTCTTCATGGGTACGCTAACTGGTTCTCCAATTCTACTTTTATCTTAAAGCTCATATATTTGTCATTCTCCCAATCCACTATGTGCTGGAGAAAAATCGATTAACTATCTCTTACCATGCCAGCCCCAATCTGGATGCACAGGCCAGCATAGCTTGAAAGAAAGCGCTATAAAATAAAGTTAAGAAATTTGTAGCCGGCAATAATTAACAGGACTCACCTCTGCTGTGAGAAATCATATCAGGGCTATGATAGAGAAAAAAAAATTCTAAATCATTTCAGTAGACTATTGTAACGCACTGATTACCGTTCTAAATTTGAACCATGGCAATCCAGCCTCATTCCCCCATACTGTATAAAATAATTTAAGAAAATAAATTAAAATAAGATAAAATTGTAATCAATGGTGCTCGCAACAGAATTTAGAAATGATTGGAACACATAACATTTTAAGAAATGTCCAGAAAGCAGGATACCCAACCACCTTTATATTAAAACACTTCCACAAAAGGTATAACAATCAATAACCCAATAAACAGAACCACAAATATCTATAGGGCGATATGTTACATTCCATACTCACAAACATCTATAGCAATAGCCAACCACTTAAGAAACTTCGGCATCTAAACATATTACAGTAATTCCCCTAACATAGGCTCCACCATTAAAATCCACTATCTAAAATAATCCTAATATCATAAAACTCACTAACCAAACAGAAATAAAAGGCAATATATTCCATAGGGTGCAACAACTGCTAAGCCAAGTACGTGGTGGAGACAGGAAGGAGAGACATCAATAGAATATATGAACATAGACGCAACGTTATTAATCAAGACAATGGATCTCTAATTTTCCAATACTGCAAAGAAACAGGCCACACTTTCGCATTAGGAGAACCTAGAAGACAATACTATAACTTAAACAGCAAATATCAAAGGCTTATAATTGATTCTTTATTATTCAGGAAACACAATAGCATTAATAGAGAATAGATTTGCCCGAAACATATAACACAATATGTCCTAGCACCAACTAAATATCGACAGTAATATAAGTAACTTATATGTAATAGCCAATAACTATTATAAAACTACTTAAATAATAGAATTTCTAACCTATAAGATAATTCATAGAATATAGCAAACGATAGTAGAATATGCATAAGTACCTTAACCAAATGAAAAAAAAAAAAAGATATATCCTAAGAAAACAAACAATGTGCAAAAAACATCCTAATGTATATATATATGTATATATGTACATAGAATCACAATAGTTTTAGCATCAGGCGGCGTCATAATTTCTTGATAAATTGTATATGTTCCTCCTGTAGAAGGGCGGACAAGCCCGAAAGCTTGAGAAGACTGGGATAAAAGATACTCATCCCCATAAACGTTTTACTTTGATATCAGAAATCAACGATAACATTAAGGCTTTGTCACAAACAAAGAATCTTTAATGAGCGCGGCGAGTGATACGGTAGACGCCGTCTCAACTTAACTCTCATTGTCTGATAAAATTGCCAGTGAAACAGAAAGCATAAATTAAAATTCACGATTTAAAATCATATCAGTAGGTGCGGTTAGAAAAACTGAAAGGGGGCTGTGAGTAGCTCTTAAACTTATCGGAAAATCACAAGGCAACAATATGACATTCCTTAAGTAAGACAACTGGAAATTTTTGTAAGTCACTCCAGATATAGACTCTTAACTCAGGGTGTAGACTACTTCACCAATTTAATTAATTAAATAATTAAATAGTATGGCTTTTCACTATGTATATACTTCTAAAGTATTTAAGATGAAAATATATACTAAATTCGCGCCCCGCGGCGGGCACCACTGTCGCGTTCCCTATTTTAGACCTACGAGAACGGAGCATGTAAAGGAGTGACTTAGTACAATTTCCTTAATACAATTTACGAGTGTAACCTATCGACAACAATGTCATCAGCATCCTCGGAATGTATGTTGTGACTTAGTGAAATTCCCTAAAAAAAAATTTACAAGTGTAACATTTTGACAAACGTCGCTTCCATCTTTGGAATAGCGTGACATAGAAATAGACAAATATAGGACTTAAACACCTAAGGATATACTTGATGAAATGTAGTATCAGATAATATACAAGGTACAGGAGGACTCAAGTGGGAATTTTTCTTCCATACAAGGCGTGGGAGGGACCCTCCAAAAGGGGGCACAGATCGGGGGAGGACCGTTGAAGGATTCCTTCCTGGAATGCATGGGGGCGTTGGGTGTCGCGCGGATTTAACAAGGTCTCTGGAATGTAGGGGTCCAACGTCTCAGGGGTTTCAACTTACGTCCATTCTCCCCCCCCCCCTGTTTCTTCCTCCATGAAAGAGAAAATGGCGACCCCTTCTCCCTGCCTCCCTCGTTGTCCCAACCATTCCTTTAAGAGATTCACCTTCTGGCGATTTAGCAACCCACTGAAGACGCTGGGAGCTATTTCATGGTGAAAAATTATAGCAACAGGTCTCTATAACTTCTACAGATCAACTGTAAATAGATTCATAATAAGGCGTTTATAACCCAAATAACACAAACAATAGTCAAACATACAAATCTATTTGTGACATATCGTACCCTACTAACAGCGTAACAATAGCCCGAGGAATTAGGAAATATGGTATAAAGACATATTATGAAAACACCTAACATACACGCAATAATCAGAAATCATAACAAAAAGATGGCCATAACTCACCAATATGCAACAGTCAAGCAATATACCTAATGAAATGCAACCAATGCAATAGTATGTACATAAGTGAAACCGGCAAACAAGTAATAGATAGAATGGATGGGCACACCAGATCCATAGAAAGGATAAAAGAAATTCCTTTTATTCCAACACTCTCAAAATACAGGTCACTCCTTCAATCTAAGTAACCCAAAAACCTTTTATACCAATGTGAACAGCGAACAGAAAAGACTGTACTTAGAATTTTTTTTTCATCATTAAAACACGCTAGCATCAATAGACACATTGAAATTCCAGAATCATACACAGAACTCATAAATAGCAATTAACGTACACTTCCCGTATTTAATACAATAACTCTTGTTTCAATAACTCTGTTCCATAGCTAATTCAAATTCCATAAGTTAAATTATTATATAATAGTTTTTACCTTAGTTTAGAAATATGTAAATAGTCTGGATACTTAGCATATATCAAGAAGTTAATAGCTCCTTTATGAAAAATTTGTAAAGATGTAAATATATTAGGTAAATATATTTAGCTACTAACGAT